AAAATGGGCGAAATGAGCTTGAGGACGCCAAACGGTGCGGCCGAACGGTGCCACGTTCATCAATGCATCTATGCGCACTGAAGGGCGCTCCAACCTTTTTGGTCGGTTATGACAAGAAACAGCCATTATCAGTCACGTATTCCTAAATCTCGAAAGTGAATTATGCACTTGAGTTCGAATACCACAAGGTGATGAGTTTGAGGCCCAGGTGACCTCCGAGTCCGGCCGACATTGGGCTCGAGCCTGCCACGGCTTGCAGCCGCTGGCCCGGGCACCTCACTCCCGGAGGTCCCAGGATCAAGGTACAAGAAGTCGACAGGTGCCACTACGCTATCGAAAGATGATAGCACGCTTCGCCCGAGGCTCACTCCATGCCCCCGCCCCCACTTTAAGCTGACGCTCACGTGACCAGCCAGAGAGCCCGGGCGACACCCGCCACACCAGCAATCAAGCCTGCACTCAGTGCATGAATTCTTTGTGCTTTGTGGTCTTCTGAGACCAAAGCAGTGTCTCAAATTAAAAAAATGACAGGAATTTAACAGGTGCATAGCTGCAGCTTACCATAAAGTAAGTTTGCGTGATACGAATTAGGAGATTTTTGAGGAGAATTATGCTATTTGCCGTAAGTGTTATGAATGCGATCGATGCGGCTTAAAACATCTTTGTTCCAGCAGGCCTGAAAACCTTGATCGCAATCGCCTTCAAACCAAGCCCAAGCTCATACCAAGTCTCCCGTTCAAGTCCACCGCCTTAAACCATGGGCAACGTGGGATTGACCCTAGGACCCACTACAAGGCTATCAGGAAGCTGATCATTGGGCGCCCGGACCCCAATACGGGTGCACAGATGCGCGCACTCGCAGCCCGTCAGTGCACTACACACGTCAGTAATCACCTACCGATGCACACTGACGCGTACCAGCACGGACATCAGAGTAACAAACGAGGAGGTGGGGGGGGGGGACACCAGCACTAATGTCCGAGCACCGAAATGTCATTGTGCGGCCCGTGCACTCTCAGATGTATCGGGAAGAATGGGTTCCCCTGGGCGACTTTGGGGCACTCCGGTCGTGTCGCAACACCCGTCCCAGCTGCACCACTCGCATGCCTTATGACCTCGCCCTCTCGCCCAAACAAACCCCCCGCCGGCGACCGTAGCGCAACATTAAAGGGAACCTCAGGAGCCGTAGTGTAGTAATGAAGCGCGCGCCGGGAACTAAGCCCGCAGCCTGGTCCCGAGCCGTCGGTGCTCACCTGTGCCAGCTGCCGGTGCGGTACATCCTGGTCGGGAGTCACGCCCCTCGGTCGACCATCGCCCCCTATCAAGCGACCGCGCGGATGTCTCACGGCCGCCCCACCGACGGCCGCCCTCCCCCCGGCCACTTTCTAACGGAACTGACGGCCACAGCTCAGAGTGGCCACAGCCAGCGAGGTCTGCAGTCGGCGACTGGCGGCCAGTTTGACAAGCTGAGGTTTTGGTAGGTGATGGTAGGTGGCAGGGAGGTAGCGCCGTTCGTCGGGCATTCAGATGCATGGGTGGAGCTCTGTGTTTCTGCTAATGCTTGCACTCTCCCCCCCCCCCCACACGCACACTGGTTGCCTTGGTCCAGCAATTATGCACCCAAACAACCCAAAAGTTTAAAAAACGCCGAAAAACAAAAAAGTCACCAGCTGTGCCAAAAGCACGCCCGCGGCATTGCAATGCAGCTTTGAGGCTCCACCACCGTATTACTTGGGCTTGTTTGCAATGGAGTACCAAGGGAAGTGTGTTTCCTCTTTCTCTTTGCCGCTTACCGGACCCGTTTTTGGGTTGCGGTGAACTTTTTAAGCTCCAGGTACTATTCCAGGCCTCGGGAACTACTTTTGTTGATGTTTTAGAAACCCTTGAAACAGGGATCTAAGGGCCCCCGTCACCTCCAGTTGGGGGGGGGGGGGGGAATCCCATCCCTCCTCTTTGTCTAGGTCACTGGTTGTTGAGCATTGGCGATGTTTAAGCAGGGTTGTCCAACCAGGCGTCGGATGGACCGTCCGCGCAAGCATCTTGGCAGTTACAAATAGCTTTGCGCGACGAGCCAAGCTTCATAATCAAGATGTGACACGCTTGACGCTACTGAAGGCCCTGTCGGACAACCAGCATCATGCGAGACATGCAAGGTGGGTGAGGTGCTCAGAATCGGATGCATCAACCAGCAAGTGTGTCCGTTTCGCTACTTACCGAGGCACGTGACATGACCGGTTATTAGCGTCGCCTAGCCGCCAGTGAAAACCTTGCTCAAAAAAGAAGAAGCTAGCAGGTGGAAAATTTGTGGCCCGTGGCTTGCGCAGGCACGACGTTTGCATCGTTGATTACAGAGCGGTGTCATGACGTTGACCAATCGAGTCAGACCCTTCTAATCGTGGCTTTAGACAGACGTCTACACCAATCATAGTCACGAAGGGCAAGAGAAAGAATGGCTGCAATGAGGCGGGTGGATGCTTGAGGCTTGACGAAGCAGACAAAAAGTGATATTGCCAGTTCCAACACAAAAACACATGCTTGTGTGTGATTTTGTATCTGCTGTCCGTGGACTTCAGATGGGACCTGATTTCGTAACGGTTGCTATATGCGCATTTCAACATGAGTGCATTTTTAGTGATCATTGCACCACCCGCCCAGCGAGGGCAATGCAGCGCAGGCACGGAACACGGCTGAGCTAGGTCTTCTCACGTCTGCAACAGAGCACCGCAGCGACACTGGAGCCGGTGAGCGGTGTGTGTTGCGGGAGGTGTCACGATATGGGGGAGGGGGTCCCCGAGCACCGATCGCCACACCGGCAACCAGAACAGGGGGAGTCCGCTGTTCTCTCGTTTGGCCGCGTGACATCACGTGCATATTTCGAGTCAACGCACCGGTCATCAGCCCTGACGACTCCGGCATCCCTGGTTGCGCTGCTGGTACGACCACAAGCCGGGCAGCGGCGGCATGAAATGCGGCGCCATCGGCGCGCGGTGGCAGTCGCGGCTCGGTCGAGTGGTGCGTGCCAGCACGACGTGTAGCCCACCGCCCGTCCGGGGCGCAAGCAGCGGCGCCGGCGGCTGTCCACCCGTCTATCCTGGGTGCAGGTGACGGCGGACGCGGCTGTCCACCCGCCCGTCTGGGGTGTAGGTGACGGCGGAGGCGGCCGTCCACCCGCCCGTCCGGGGTACAGGTGGCGGCGGAGGCGACTGTCCACCCGCCCGTCCGGGGTGTAGGTGACGGCGGAGGTGACTGTCCACCCGCCTATTCGGGGTGTAGGTGACGGCGGAGGCGGCCGTCCACCCGTCCGCCCGGGGTAAAAGCGGCGGCGGAGGCGACTGTCCACCCGTCTCTCCGGGATGTAAGGTGACGGCGGAGGCGGCCGTCCACCCGCCCGTGCACATACCGCAACCGACGGGCGTGGCGGGCCTGTCCCATGCGCGGTACAGTTCGGCACGCGGCACTACCAGCCCCGGCACAGGGCGAACGGCCGCGTGACTGTAAAGCGCTGTGCATTGTGTGGTACGTGCATACCACGGTGACGCCGGCGGACCCCTTTTCACGATGCGGCGAAATGGCCAAAGCGTTTTGACACGCAGCGACATATCTGAGTTGTCCGGGCTTTCCACGGGTGTAACAAAATTTCTTCCGTGAATGCGCGAGCCGTCCGATGTGCCAGTTGGGCACATCGGTTCATTTTGAAGATCGGTTCAAAACCATCACCCTTCATTGGTTTAAAAGCATCGTGCTTCTCTATGCCCAGCCGTCACCGAGAAGCGGCGAGGTGACGGCGTGAAAACAAAAATCGGTGCGGTCTCATTCACGCAAGCATCTCAATCACATGTGATTTCCACCTCCAGCGGTATTTTACTACGGTGTGACTACACTCGTCACCACAAGCGCACGTGCGTGACCTTGGCACGGCGCGTGCCTCAACGCTTGGAAAGTGTCGGGTGCGGACCTGACCCCATCGGGGCGCTGCGGTGGTGCCCTCTAGGGCGCGACGCATACGACTGCGCGGCACGTCCCACGACTCCGAGTCAGTCATCGCAACTCCCGAGACTCCATCGCACGTCTCCATGACTCTGGAATTGTGACTGCCGGCGCACGTGAGCCTGTGAGCCCGTGACAACTCCCTGTACATCTGAGATGCCCCATTTGCACCCGCAGCACCGACAGCCCCTCTCGTACATACAATGGGACCAGGTAAGCGCACGTGCTCTTTCAGCCCCAGGTGCCTCCTTTCGGAAGCAGCTGTGTGCTGCCTGTCACATGTTCGTCACACAGGGCTGCACGCAGGCGAGGTGTGATGTCGCCTGCATGTCAGCGGCGACACACAACCGCAGGTGATGACGTCACGGATGCCAGCAATGCCACAGAGCCGCTGCTGACGCCGCGTGTCGCCAGTGGTAATACCAGGCAGCAGTTCGGATGGGATGTCAGCAATGTCTACAACGATGCGGAGTCGCTGGCGCGCAAGCATGACGTCAGTGGCGACAGAGGGCGGCGGGTGACGCGGTGACGTCACATGGCCCACATCGCCCCAGTGATGCCGCCTCGAGCGCTGCAGGGCCCAGGCTGGGGTCGCTAACGCCGTGTAGCACTCCCACCGCTCTGGCGATCGCGCAGCGTGAGGACCAGAGCACGCGCACCGCGTCTGGTGGGCTGACGTCACCCACTCACCAACACGAGCTCCAGGGGACGGGGGACTGACGTTGCCAGGTGTGACGGGTGCTGCGATGATGCCGTGCGAAGCACGCAAGACGGCGACGGCCAGTCTGAGGCCGTGTTATGCTGGGAACCGCTTTATATCTGATGTTTGAGCAGTATAACATGTGAATGAAATTGTTTTATGTGGATGACTACCAAAAATGAGTGAGTTTTTTCAGTCGGTGTCTGTATGCGAGTATCGACAAGAAGCTACCGTGCCGCTGACCGACTGCATGAAGCCCCACATTACGACCTGGTCCATGCGGTGCTCGGGAGGAGCCGCGACATGTACTCACTGCTTCATGGAGCCATAACGTCGGAAATGGGCCGGCAGCTCGCTGGCGTTGTTCCTGAAACAGTGCACGGACCGTCACGCACTTACTGTCCGATGTACACTTCGAGTATGATGAGCGCGGATACGATGTTCGCTGGATTCTAACAGGCAGTCTTTAAGTGTGGTCTGGAGCGTTTCGCGAGGGGCCTGCAGTGTATTTCAAGAAATGAGTTCCTTATGGCTACGTACGCTTATTCATGATTATTCACTATTGCACACTTTTGCCAACAGACTGGTAGCATGAGGGTGTTCGGAAAAGCAGGTTACGCTACAGCAGTGCACCGAACACAGCAGGCTGCCGCGGTTCGCCATCCGTCTCAACCAGCTTCTACTCTACCATCGGTCTGCTGTGCACAGCAACTAAGAGGAAACCCATTTAAATGCAGTTATTGCAAGGTGGCTGTTGCAAGCTACCATATCGTACCAAAGTCGTCTGGTGTCGATGTACCCTGATTATAGCATAATCCGACATGAGCTCGCGACCTGCGCGCCACCCCGACCCGAACTGTGACCTCTGACCTTGAGGCCTGACCTCAAATGATAGTTCTTGACCTCTGAACCTAACCCCTGACTTTGACCCTGTCCCCTGACTAACTGATATCCGGCCATCACGTCTGACACCTGACCCTGGTCCGTCACCTCTGACCTAACCTGTGGCCGTGGCTCAATCCTGACTCTAGCCCCTGACTCTCTAACCATCACCTCTGACTTTGACTCTGATCCCTGACTAACTGATATCCGGCCATCACGTCTGACACCTGACCCTGACCCGTCACCCCGGACCTTACCTGTGGCCGTGGCTCAATCCTGACTCTAGCCCCTAACCCTCTAACCATCACCTCTGAGGCTGACACTTGACCTCTGACCATACTTGACCCGTGAGCCTGACCTGGGCGTGCGGCGCAGGCTGGTCCGCAGCCAGGTGGTCCGCTTGCTGAAGTCCACGTTGGGCTGGGACTGACCGCTGGCGTGGCCGGAGCTGCGGCAGGACCACCGTCATCGTCACCTTCAGCATCGGCAGCATTGTCAGCGCAACGGCATCGGCAGAGCTAACAGCGTCTCCGTAGTCAGCGGCGTCACTGCCGGCACTGCCGTCACCGCCGACGTCTTTATGACTACATTGCTGACAATGCCATCAACATGACACAAATTATGATGTACGTCGCTGAAATAATCAATATCATCATTTTCGGACTTACGCGAACGGACAGCCTGCGGCTTCATCCTTAACATTTGCCCAAAATACGGCACGTTAACACCCAACAACTTTTGAAAGATTGCGATAATAGCTATCGAGAGGACGATAGACGACACTGAGATAAAGCTGTGCATGGTAGAACAAAGCAGAGCTGTGCACTGCACAGGGTGTTCGTCAGTGGCGGCGTTCCCATTAAGACACTTAAGGCACTGCCTTACCATATCTCAGAGCTCACTTCAGCGCCTTTTGAAAAGTACATATCATCTTACATTGTGGTAACACTTCGTTTGCTACGACACATTTCAACGCATTTAAAGGCCTCTAGATCTATAATCACCTATGCAACCGTTTAAATATGTTTTAAACGTCTTCATGACATCTATATCCCGTAATGCTATTTAATAGCATGTTACTTCGATTTGCCATTCTCGAAACTGGCTTGGCTATGCGCCGAAAGCCTGGGCACTCAGGCATACCTGAGCCAGCATAAGCTAATGTTTTGATTAGAGGTCCTACCTAAGACCAACATGCCGCCCATATATCAGCCAGAGATCAGCATATTAAGCCTACGTATTAAACCTCAAAATTATCGCAACGTTTCACCCGACAAAGGACATCAAACAGCAAGCAGGCAAATACGATAGGGCGTCGCGTACAGGAACGCGGCCGGCGTTCCCGACATGGGTGCTTTTATTGTTTACTTTTATTTATTATATTTTATTACTATCGGTGATTCCCAGCCCTACAGGCAGCACCCACCCAATGCGAGCAGCCTAACAGACCGCACAAACGCTAAGTACAGCACCTGGCGTATCGATGGGCTGTTGATGTTGGTTTGCCCTGGTGCACATTAAACAACTGTTTCTTCTGCGTACGCGCATGTTCACTCGGCCTTCGCTAGTATTGTCACTTAAATCACACCTTTGTCATGCAGGACACTACTCACAGTAGTGTCAATGCGATGCTAAATTACAATAGTTTTCCTGATCACCAGATTCGGGGATGACATTCATTAGTGCCGTGGTAAAAAAAACTACGCTCGAACCACACGGATGGGGTACGGGAGGGGGCTGAAGCCCCACAAGCCTCATTTGGCTTAGCTACTGATAAAATCTAATGCATGGACAGCTAGGGCAACACGTAAACAACTACCTCTTTCACAGAGCATATTTGTGTTGGATGCTGGTAAATGCTTGCATTGACATTAGGATACGTGATGTCCCGGTAGATGCAGACAGCAACTAGCATCATTCCCATGGTTACCTTTGCTGTCACCCTCATCACCGCCGTCGCCTCATCAATACCAACATACTTGTCCTCTTCCATACCAACTGTCGTTAAGCTAAGAATCGTTTTTTCTCCAACATGGCAATCGATCTTTTTTCAAACGATCTGGAAACAGCGACTTGATTTGCTACTTCTCCTTGCTTGCATTATTTCAATTCATCAGTGTGAGCCGTACAAGTTAAAGATATGTCTAACAGTCGTTGGCAAGTAGCAAACAATGCCTAGCTTAGTCGTCACCTTGCCCCATATTTCACCAGTGCGATTCTTTTCCGCTGGGTTGTCACTTGCAATCGTTCCCGGCATCCGAGACAGATCGCGTGGGTACTTACTGAGATGAGCAGATTTTCGGACGGCAAACGGTGGGCTGACCTCCACAGTCTGATCGAATCAGCTGACCTTTGTTACCGGACCCCTGGGTAAGCATTGGGAGCTGGTGACCCAGCTACGAGACGAAAACAGCGGAAACGGCACGTAAAGGTCACCACGGGGTGGCGTGGACAAATGGGTATGTATATTCCACCGCGGACTACGCCCACACCTTGGCGTGTCTTGTGGTCATGATGGTGACGCATGGTAAGCCGCTTGATTCCATATCTGCATCAGCACGTCGGTATCTGATTGCACAAGTGATACCAGCTAGCTGTATAAGCGGACAGCCAGACGTTCCGGCGGAGCTGTTGTCGAACCATTGCGATGAATTTGTGATAAGCGAGCTGGTCGGTCGCAACAACGACCCTTTTAGTGAACGGTGGTTAACCTCAGTACTGCCGAGCTGTGTTGCCGCTTCAACAACCATATGAAAGAAGACGCGCTTGACGTCCTTAAATAGGTACAGCATTATCAACATGGTCGAAAAGACCTGTATTTAATGGAATGAAAATGAGACAAATAAGCAAACAATGGCCACAAACATCAAGGGAACCTAAAATCGGAGGCAAGAAAAGCTCAGGTTTCCGAGTGGCAGAAAAAGAAGAGGCACGCAGGGCAAAACACACGCACAAAAAAGCTATTAGGATACAAAGGGGTGAGATGAGTGAAAACAACAAATAGGAAGAGCTTCAATCATACAAGAGAAGGAAATGAGTGTTTTCACTAAGACAGCAAGGGCGAGGGGTCAGGAAAATAGAACGAAGACTGGAGACCGAAGGAATGATTTATGGAGACAGAAGCAAATACAAGGACGAAGTTGCAGACAGAAACGAAGACGGAGACAGCGACTGTGAAGTAGACAGAAACAGAGAAGAGACAAAGACAGAGACAGGGACAGAGATAGAGACAGTTACAAACACAGATACAGATACAGACAGTGACGGCACAGGATGGAGGGAAGGAGAGGGGGAGAGGGAGGGAGGAGAAAAAGGAGGAGCAGGAGGAGGAGGAAGAGGACTGTGGGAGGGAGGGAGGAAGGGAAGGAAAGGGAGAGAGAGAGGGAGAGAGGAGAGAGAGAGAGAGAGAGAGAGAGAGAGAGAGAGAGAGAGAGAGAGAGAGAGAGAGAGAGAGAGAGAGAGAGAGAGAGAGAGAGAGAGAGAGAGAGAGAGAGAGAGAGAGAGAGAGAGAGAGAGAGAGAGAGAGAGAGTAGAGAGAGAGAGAGAGAGAGAGAGAGAGAGAGAGAGAGAGAGAGAGAGAGAGAGAGAGAGAGAGAGAGAGAGAGAGAGAGAGAGAGAGAGAGAGAGAGAGAGAGAGAGAGAGAGAGAGAGAGAGAGAGAGAGAGAGAGAGAGAGAGAGAGAGAGAGAGAGAGAGAGAGAGAGAGAGGAGAGAGAGAGAGAGAGAGAGAGAGAGAGAGAGAGAGAGAGAGAGAGGAGAGAGAGAGAGAGAGAGAGAGAGAGAGAAGAGAGAGAGAGAGAGAGAGAGAGAGAGAGAGAGAGAGAGAGAGAGAGAGAGAGAGAGAGAGAGAGAGAGAGAGAGAGAGAGAGAGAGAGAGAGAGAGAGAGAGGGAGAGAGAGAGAGAGAGAGAGAGAGAGAGAGAGAGAGAGAGAGAGAGAGAGAGAGAGAGAGAGAGAGAGAGAGAGAGAGAGAGGAGAGAGAGAGAGAGAGAGAGAGAGGAGAGAGAGAGAGAGAGAGAGAGAGAGAGAGAGAGAGAGAGAGAGAGAGAGAGAGAGAGAGAGAGAGAGAGAGAGAGAGAGAGAGAGAGAGAGAGAGAGAGAGAGAGAGAGAGAGAAGAAGAGAGAGAGAGAAGAGAGAGAAGAGAGAAGAGAGAGAGAGAGAGAGAGAGAGAGAGAGAGAGAAGAGAGAGAGAAGAGAGAGAGAGAGAGAGAGAGAGAGAGAGAGAGAGAGAGAGAGAGAGAGAGAGAGAGAGAGAGAGAGAGAGAGAGAGAGAAGAGAGAGAGAGAGAGAGAGGAGAGAAGAGACGTTCCTCAGTCGTGCAGCAGCGGTACTATACACGCCCAGGTGCTCGTCTCGCTTTACTCGGCTCCGTTTTCGTTTCCGGTAGCGTGGCCTGTCCGTTCCATGACGCGGACGCGCCGGTCACCGAGTCGCTGCCCCGCGACACATGGCT